ACAATGGATACAATAAATCATAGACAGGAACTTCTAAACCTATCAGCTTTTTCTTTTTATAAATTAATTGTCTCAGGTATTTGCTATAGTAATGGAAAGCTAACACACCATCCTAATGACCCTATGTAATACAGTACACATTTAATTACACATCCTAGCACACTAAAAATGAACCAGCTTCCCCAAACTCTACATTTTGTTTCTGTACTGAGAATAGGAGTTCATCCACTTTCCTTCACACACTACTGCAGGGCCCCACACTGCCCACTGTGCTTGGATTGCAGCCATTGCTTCTTCATAGAACCCATGCCGAGTAAAGTAATTAAGTTTCAGTCTAAGCACTGCTCCTGTGGGATTCATCACAGAAAAATCTGTACCTCGTGAGCATCAGGGATCATGTCTATCAAGAACTTCCCTGGTAGATCCAGAATCCTGATTGGCATCATGCCCAGCCTGCCTGTATCTCCCTGAAGGCAGGATCCAAAGGCCTAGTGGTTTTTAAGTTAAACGTTGCATTGCTGACCTGATTTTATGGGTCCTAGAACAAACTCCATCCCCTTGACAAGTCTAATTCCTTTTCCACAAACCATGCCTGAATCTGTCCATAGTAGTAGCTGACATGAAGGCCACCTGTACATATATCCCCTGCTCCTCCTCTGAAGTGTATGCCTAAGTGCAACACACTCCTGGGAATCACAAAAGGCTGACATTAAGGGCTAGAAGTTGGTAAACCTTTTGCTGCTTTGCTGGAAGTGTGGTCTCCAACCACTAATTATCTGCATGCTTATGTGTACACATCTGTGGGCATGCAAACCCAACATATATGTATGTTTATTTATAAGTCATGTGTTTGCATGACTCTACTACATGCAACATGCACTAGAAATATAAAAAGAGTATTTTAGGAAACAATATAAGGGTATAATAATTCATGATTTAAAAATAGGTATTTCATGTACTAATGGAATCCTTTACCTTTTCTTCTTACTAAAATAAATATTATAGTGATTATAAATTCTAGATCAAGTTTACTCTAATTCACCATTAAACATTAGTGATCAACATGTCAAAATTGAGGATACAACTCAAAAAACCCAATAAGCTTGCTGAAACCAACCAACAGGCTTGCTGAAAAAGTTATGATTTCCATACTTGTTTTTCGAACACCTTCACAGCTTCACAGGGGTCTGTTGATGTTCTGGGTGTTTCATTTTGAAGCATTTTGTTAAAGGTGATTATTTTATACAAGATTATCGATACCTGAAAGCTCAATCACAGTTAGGATGATGTGTAATGAATAATGCTTGCAAATCTGTATATCAAACAATCTTTCCAAAGTAAGTCCAAATCTCACAGCCTACTTGTTTTTGGATCTGATTAGTTGCCATTTTTAATCTCAGTGTGTATCCCTAGAAATGCCTGCAAGCATGGGATTAGTGTCCTTCCCGCATTTTCTGGTATTTACCATTCACCCATGATTAATATCACATTCAGTTCATGATTCCTTTGGAACACTGAGGGGGGTTGTGTACTTAAGCGGGGGTTAGTATACTGAAAACTACAAACAAATGTGCAGATATATACAACCAGCCAGCCACAAACTGCAGTATTTGGTAATGTGAGGGTGACCGTGGTCTGCTCTTGGTATGGACGCTCTCTTTTGTCTTGACATCTGAGTTACTGAAATAGGACTCATGGCTGTTTACCGTATGAACAAACAGAGTCTTTAGAGCAATCTGAATTCTAATTATTAGTGATTCTTGATGCATTTTAAAGTTCTTTTTTTTTTGGTTTTTCTCTGGCACCGGGAACCGAACTCACGACCTTGTGCTTGCCAGGCAGGCGCTCTTGCCACTGAGCTAAATCCCCAGCCCCTTAAAATTCTTTTCTGTAAAATAATTTTAAGTAGTTGTTCTAATATTTTATTCCCACATCCTCATGGTGATCTTTTGCAACCTGAGGAGGACTCAGCCCACCTTGGAGACCAGCTTTAAACAATAGCAAATTATTCAAGATTTTGAGCCAGACATGGTGGCTCATGTCTGTAATCCCAGCACTAGGAAGGCTGAGGGAGGAGGACTGTGGTAAGTTCAAAGCCAGTCTGGACTCCACGTCAAAAACTAAATAAATAAATAAGATTTTGCATGAAAAAGCCTTACATTCAGCCCCTTTCATCCCTTGGCCAGGGTAAGGCTGTGATTTGTTCTCACTAATCCCAAGTTGCCCCTCTGGCAATCGCAGACTGCATTGCTTACTTCTACCATTGGTTACAAAAAGCCAGGAGGTAATGAATAGAAAACTGTCTAATACAGGATGACATGTGACCTCCCTATACTGCTGCCTGTTTTCATAACTATGGGATCTGAAGAGGAAAGCAGAGTGATGTGCTGAAGCATCCCCTCAACCCCCTCAGAGGAACAAGCAGAGTCTGGTCTCAGGTGTTCAGGCTCTCATCCCAGGGACCGGTCACTATTCCTTGAAACTTCTGACCAAATGAGAAGTGACCCGTGGAAACAGAGCTTCCAGAAAATGCACAAAGTTTTGCCTCATTAAGCCCAGCCCCCGATTCTCACCAGAACCCCTTAGATGTCCACTCCCCAGAATCATTTGCCATACCTAACACTGTCTGCTCAGATCCCACTTCCCCCTTAGGGAAGAGGGGTCTATACAGAAAAGCATTAATTACATAGCTTATCCATTTGAAACTAGAGTCCAATCTGACAGTAGACTATAAAAGTGTGCATGCATTCATCCTCCCCATCAAGAGATGGTATCTACTTTCAACACCAAATGTGCACCAGTCCTGCTTTACTTTGCAGAATGCATTAAAGACAACTTTGTGCAAACTCCAAGGCTGGCCTCAAAAGTTAAATGAATAAAACAGATATTTCTCTAAAAACGATATACAAATAAATGGCCAAGAAGTTTATGAAAAAAATGTTTCCTATCATTAATAAAGAAAATACAAGTAAAATAATAGTAGCTATGGCTATTATAAAGGGAAACCCTCATAAACTGTTAGCGGCATTATAAATTAGTGCAACCATTATGGAAAATAGTATAAAGGTTCCTTTGGAAACTACAACTAGAACTACCATAAGAACCAACAATTCAAATACTGGAGTTCCTTCTTTTCAAAGGAAAGAAATTCAATACATCAAAGAGATTGCTTCACTCCCATGTTTATTGCATAACTATTCACAACAGCTAACATATAGAATCAGTCTACGTGTTCACTGGCAGATAAATAAACACAGTGTTACCCACCGTGACACTTAGTCTTGGTTGCTAACTTGGTAAACCTGAAAGATGCCTCAAAGGCTATTAAAGTACACTTCTGAGTATCTTTGGGTGGCTCATGACCTTGGGGGCTACATCTGGTGCACTTCCCCTTCTTCTCTGGCTACTTTTTATATATTAGTACTGGGGACTGAACCCAGCACTTCAAAACTGAGCTACATTCCCAGCCTGTTTTGTAATTTTAATTTTTATTTTGGGACAGGGTCTCACTAAATTAGTAAGTTACCCAGGCTGGGTTTGAATTTGCAGTCCTCCTGCCTCAGCCTCCCAGACTGCTGGGATCACAAGGATGTATCACCATGCTCAGGTCTCCTCAGGCTTTCTTGCTTTTCTCTACTTCACAGGTGGCACGAGTTGAACAGCCTTCCTCTGCTGCACCTTCCTACCGTGATGCTTCTGCCTTATAGCCACCCAGCCAGGGACTGAAAATTCTGAAACATGAACCTAGATAAAGATTTTCTCCTTTGAGTTGTGTATGTCAGATATTTTTCCTAGCAACATCAGAAAAGTCACACACACACACACACACACACACACACACACACACACATTGAGGAATATTATTCAGCCATAGAAAAGAAAGAAATTTGGTCATTTGAGGGAGCATGGATGAGCCTTGAACATATTTCCTTAGGTGAAATAATCCAGGCACAGAAAGACACTACCTGTTTTGACTTACATGTAGAAATTTAAACACTGATCTCAAAGAAATGGAAAATAGAATAATGGTTACCACAGGCAGGGAAGGATGGAGGGGATGAGTGAATGGTGATGGTGACCACAGGGAGAGAATCGTGAACATCCTAGCCCAGGGTTCCAGACCTGTGAACAAGCCCAGCTGAGACCAGGAAGACCTGGCCCAATTCTCCAGATCCGGCTGAGACCAGCCCAAACTGCTGTCTCAGAACTGAGATATATTCACTGAAAGTAGTGATCATAAGCCACTAAGTTTTATGGTAGTTTGTTCCACTGCAAAAGCAAACTGCCAGACGCCCTTCCTCCTCACTGACCATAACTTGAGTACATAAAAATTCCAGGTTCTGTAAACTTTTATTTCCTTGTCAGCAGCATGAGGAAAGTTGCAGCCACTGTGAGTACACGTAATTCTGCCCTGTGGTTAGTTATTTTATATGACCATCTCACATCTTATTATTTTCAGTGAGCCTGAGAGGTGAGTCTACAATAAAAATTCATTGAGATCATGCATATATTTCAGACTACATCCTCAAAATAATGAAAGCAATATATTTTACTATGTTTTTAAGGGAGGTATTTGTAAGTACAAACATGGTTAGTTCTGAAAGACCTAGGCTAAAATTTTACTATATATGAATTTGGGGAAAATGTCCCCAAAGCATTGAGCACATTAACACATCGTTATCAGAGCTCCTCAGGCAAGCCTCACTTCCCACAAGTTCACTTTCCTTTATGCTTGATATACTTAAGGAAAAGGCAATTTACAAGAGAGAAGGTAGGAGGTAATGAAGGAGAAAGGAGATAAATTAGTATTTTCTTTCACTGGTCAATATATACTCTTATTTTCAGATGCACTAAAAGCTTGAATTTTCCACTTGACAAGAAGAACAATAAAAATCTTTCTTCATGTATTCCCCCAACGTCTTATCTGCCCTTTTCCTTCTTCCATAAAAAATAAAATAAAATGCACACATACACAAATTCAAATTGTGAAGCATACTCACCCTCTCTGAAAGAGATCCACATTATAAAATTTATGCAGCTCTACCGAAAACTCAACCGTTCCTTGTACTTCACACATGATCCTTTTGGTTCATTACCTGAAAAAAAGAGAAATTAACAGCTGAGACCATATCACTTCAGCAGAGACAGGAGCCTGGTTTCTCCAACAGGGACCAAACAGTGCATGGACAGGCCAGGATATCAGACCAACGGGCCCCACAGGAGCAGCATGTGTCTGCTCAATGCCATCATTCAAGGGTCCCTCTTAAAAGAAAAGACACAGAGAAATGAGGCGATATGGTTGATATCATGCAACTCATATCAGGCAAGGTTAGGACTCAGGCTCAGTTGTCCTAACGTCAAAGACCACCTGGTCCACTGACCATTCCTCAGTCCTATGCAGGCCACATTCTCCTAGCTATGCGTCCATCTTTCATGAGTCAAGAGACTCTACCACCTTCTCTCTGTGTGACCTTGAGAAAGTCATTTACCTTCCCTCTTTCCCAGTATTCTAGTTAGTAACACGAGGATTGGCAGTCATAAACAGCTTTGATAAATGATGGGAAGATTAAGTAAATGTACCACACTGAGTACTCTGCACAGCCTTGCCAGGCAGTAAATACTCAATAAATGGTAGCATCCATTGAAAATGATTCCATTACTGATACTGTTCATGCAAGTGACTGGATTGTCACGGAAAATAAGTATGTGCTATGTTATCAACCATGGGAAGCCAAGCAAGAGCATCTGCCGGGCAGATGCTGAATGCAGATCAACAGACACTAACTTTCCAAGCCAGGACACCTGAGGGCAACTAAAAAAGTGCTGTACTGGAGTGATGCAAAAGAAATGCACTTAAAATAATCCAAGTGTAGGATGAGGAACAAACCAAGAATGAGACTCAAGGAGACTGATTTTGCTGAGCACATGAGATCATCTAGATACTGGGGATACATGGTGGCACACACTTGGAATCCCAGTATTCCTGGAGGCTGAAGCAGAAGGATCACAACTTTGAGCCCAGACTGAACAGCTAAGTGAAACCAAATAGGAGTCTGAGAATGTAGCCAAGTGTGAAGACCCTGGGTTCAATCCACAGGAGCACACACCAAAAGAAGCTGAATTTATTATTGAACGCCAACTATAGCCACAGTGCTAAACAGTGTTTTATATGTGTTGCTTTTTTTTCCAGCCTGTTTTGTTTTGATTTGGTTTTTTTTGTTTTTGTTTTTGTTTTTGTTTTTTCTCCGGTACCGGGAACCGAACTCACGACCTTGCACTTGCCAGGCAGGCGCTTTTGCCGCTGAGCTAAATCCCCAGCCCCCTGTTTTGTTTTGAAATAAGAATTTTTGGGGGAAGGTTTTTGCCCCATTTTGCAGATAAGACAACAAGGATCAGAGAGGTTCTGAGTTACAGCCAATTCCCAGTTTTAGAATGTTCTAATTGGGGCCAGGAATATAGCTCAGTGGAATCTCTCCTGCCTGGCAAGCATGAGGTCCCGAATTCAACTCCCGGTACAAAAAAAAAAAAGAACGTTCTAATGGGGCATTGTTTGACAAATCTTTTCACTTTCCTAAGCTCGGCTTACTGCAATGTGGAATGAGGACAATTAGGATTCCTGGTCGGATAGTGGCACTTACCTGCAATACATTTGGCAACCAACTGTTCCCATGGACTCCAGAATAAACAGAGAATGAAAGCAGAAGAGGAAGAGAGAGAGAAAGAAAACACTCGAACTTTCCCAATTGGCAAGCAAGAGGTGGTTGACACCTAGGTGTCCTTCCAAAGCCCCTCTTCTTATCCACAAGACACCTCAAGGATCAAATGCGATTCAGATCTCAGTTTCATTCAGCAAAGTCCTGCTAGCCCAGCTCCCAAGACTCACAGGGCACAGGATTACCTAAGCCTTAACTCTGTGTCTCAGCTCTGGCAAGGATTTCATGTGAGGAAATATTTCTGAGGATGCGGAAGGCTGCATATCAAATTAAAATGCAGCAGATCCTGGGAATCAAGTTCTATAAATTCTACAAGACAGCATTTCAACCTGACAGACCTTCAAGTCCCAGATTACCAAATGTACTGCAAACCTACAAGAGAGCCAGAGTCATGCCTCGCACACCAGAGCCAGCCAAGGTCGGAATCACCACTTGATTTCAATCCTAGGGCGTTTCCAGTAAGAGCTGATGATGAGGCCAGCAAACGCATGCTGCTCTGTGCTTCATTTCATTATCACACTAAAAACAACATCTGCAACCTCCCCCATTTCCTCCTCACCCCAGTCAGCCTCAATCATCAGAAATGCAGAGCTGGCAAAGACATCTGACTCCTTGCTTGAAGCTGAGAGCTTTCAATTATCCCTACCTCTGCTGTGCTCTGATCTTCAAGGGATGAACATAGAGAGGAAGGGACAAAGAGAGAAAGAACAACACACATCAGCAATGCTAGACTGCCAGGTGCCAAGTGCTGTCAGGAGGTGCCCACAAATTATTTCATACAATCCTGAAAAATGCACTGAGGCAGGCATCACTGATTCCAGTTCACAGAGGACTAGGAAACCAGTCAGAGCAAGAGTGAGACTCAGTATCCCAAAGACCCTGGTCTCCCAGCTCTCACACTAATGAGTATGATGACTAGGAAAGTATCTTTATGAGGAATAAATATCTGTAAGGAGCATATTTAGCACACAAAAAGATAACACACAGAGCATCATTGTCTCCTCGCAAAATTACTAGGAAGATAGATTCTGAAACTTAGGAACAGTTTCCTGGTGGAAAGCCATCTTTTCCTTTGTAATAGCATGGTCTACCTTATAACCAAACACTTTCCTCACCCATCTCTCAGATTGTTTTTCCAGAGAACTGTAGATGGTAAGAGCAACTTGTATTCAATAATCCAAAGTCATTTACTTTGGTCTCAACTCTCTGCCTTGCCCTTTCTACCTGAGGATTAGAAAGAGGATATTTATAAATTAGTTTTCAGGGCAATCTGCAGACCAGCAGCATCAGTATCTCTTTGTTATAAAATCAAAAATCTTAAAACACACCCCCAAACTAATAAATCACAACTCACAGTAGGGATGAAACCCATGGGTCTGTTTACCAACTCTTCCAAGGACTTTTTATGCAGTCACTGGTTTGAGAACACCTGTGGCACTCAGGTTTTGGAGTCTGCCAGACCTAAGCTAACCTGGCTTCTTTGGAGCTGTAAGACTTTAGCTCATTGCTTATACTCATTGCTCAGTTTCCTCATCAGTAATGAGGAGATCAAGGGCATCCACCCACAGGTTGTCTTCAGGGTTGGTGGGGATAAAGCATATCTGGTGCTTAAGATGGTTTGGCACACTTCCAAACACTCAGAGGACACAAACATACAGCTGAGAGGTGTATGTGCACACATACACACATCACACTCATGCACCCGATACACATCAAACACACCAACACATATAATATGCACAGATAACATAGATGCACCAATGCACATGGCACAACAACAGTGCTCACACACACAACATGTCCAGGACACATATGTAGCACACCCTTAACACCCACACTCCCCACACAAGCACCCTATACTCACATTTGGAAATGTACCCTACACTCTCAAGCAAAACCAACACATCAACCCACAACACATACAGTCTCCACAGACACACATCACAGACATCTTCTTTCTACTACTTCCTCCTACAGTCTGTACCACCCATTCTACCATATTTAGTATGATTTTGAGATGCCCAGCTTCAAATCTGTATCTCCTGAAAGCAGTGTGTCCAGGCCTGTGCCTATGGACAGGGAAGCAGACTCTGCCCTCAGAATGCTCAAATTCTCTGCAAGGGCCTAATGGTCTCCCATTGTAACACTGAGGGCTCAGGAAGAGCGAAGGTGTGGCAACTGAAAGCTCAGGAAGAGGGACTTGGAGTGCCTGCCAGGTCAACATTGCCCATCTCTGTCCAAAAGTTAGGAGTGCCTACCCTGTGCAGTCTTCATGTCCTCAGCTCACTGGGAGTTAGCTTGCCTGACTTTGCTGCATCTCTGCACATTGCAAGGGCCCCTTGGTTCAGGTGTCATCTGCATTCAGTTAGGAGCACGCAAGCCTGTATATTTGCAGGCAGCTTGCCAGGTATAAAACACACTAGAAAGGAGGTACAGGCAGAGGGGAAGGCCCAGAGGTATAGCACAAGGCTTGGAGGGCTTTCCTTGAGGACAATGAAAAAACCAACCTATCTCTAGAACAATGAAAACCAAAGCTCTAGAACCATACCTTGCATCCCCCAGAGATCCTAGAAGACCTTGGGCTCTTTGTTACTTCTGAATGCCACATTCCTCATCGATAAAGTGGGAAGTAATAACACCATCTTCATGGAGTATTGTGAGGATTTAAAATGTTAATGCATGCAAAGTACTCAGAACAGCATGGTTTATTAAAATGAATCAGTAAACGGCTATTTAAGTTTAGTTTCAGAGAGCAGAAGCAGGAGACATGGTAGAAAAAGATGTACTAAAATTACACCCGTTTGGTTTTCATTCAACAAAATTTTCAATGGTGATTTTAAAAAAATCTTCGTGAGTGTCCTTTCATTCCTGCCCTGACCTGGGAGCTTCTAACCACCCCAGCTGCTCATCAACAGATGATTCTACCTTGGGAAGCATTGAACTTTCCCACCACAGAGGTGTTCAGGCAAAGGACGTGGTCCCAATTTTCTGGAATGCTTGTCCCTGCCTTGATCTTAAGCGACACACTCCCTTTTGTCCCTAAATCTCTCAGATCTCATCATCTTCAGGCAGGTTGTGTGTTACTTTAATCAAAAAGGATTAATTACAAGAGGCAGAGGAGGAGCAGAGGACCAGGAGGTGGACCTTGCTGCAGGTCTTATTTGTGCTTCTGCATCCAAGACAATGCTCGCCACAGCACCTCTCCCAGTCTAGGATTCTGCATCAGTACTTCAAAAGAAAATTATTTCAGAAGAGAATGATGTGAAATGAGAACTGATGAAAGAGTTAATTGTAAAGTATTAATGACTTCTTGTTGATAGAGTCTCGCTGAAGAAATGTTGCAAAGCTATTTTGAAAAAATAAGAATGTTACTTGTTTATCCT